TACCTCTGGTGCAAATTACTGACCTCTGTCATCATTTTAAGTGGGGGAACTTGCACAATCGGTGGCTGACTAAATACTTTTTTGCCCCACTGTATGCTGTGTCTTTGAAAGAGCCTACAGCTTTAATTTCCTCTTCCTCCTGCAGGTTGGCTGCAGTAGGGGACACCTCGTTACTTTTGCCTGTGGAAATGTTTGTTGTGTTTGTGGTGGTAAGGAAGAGGTCTAACAGGGTGCAAAGCTAAACAGGGGTGAAGCTGAGTCTTCTGTGTAAGGAGCTGTCTCTCTGTAGACACTTTCTGATGGTGGCTACTGCCTAAGTTGTGAAATGTGAGCTGATAGTTTAAAATGTGGACCTTGCTGATGAAGTCCGTGGAGAGTGATGAGTAGTGTTTCCCATAAGTATAATTTGTGGTTTATAAGGTCAGATTATTTTATCATTATACTGAACTTAACTGAAAAAAGTCTAAACATAAACTGTTATTACCTTATTATCATGTCATTGATGTTTTATTCCAAACAGATCAGTGTTGGATGTATGTGGCCGAGACACTAAAACCTTAACATAAAGAAATGAATGTGATGTGATACATAACTGTGTTCACAGTTTCTTCTGGTAAAATCATCTTCTTCTTGTTTTATAGAAAGATCATGGGAGAACCTGTAGAACAACCACCAACCAAAGCATCAGCAGGTAGGAAATCTGTGGTTTGTCTGATGAGATGTATGGATGTACATGAGGTAGATTCCCTCTTTGTAACATTTTTTTTTTTTAGAAAAAAAAGATATTCTGGCATTTGTTAGAAAAAAAATGTCAGAACATTTAGACTTCATTATATATATGCTTGCCTTTAAAACAAACAGTCTCTATCGTTATAAGTACATCAAAATCAAATGTTTCGAAACATGTCTTAATCTTTTTTGGCACATTTTTATAACATGAGAACTGCCAATCTTGTCTGCCAAGCTTGGCAGAAAAAGCAACTGGACTTTTTGTTTTTTACTTTGAACCCACACACCCTAAAATTCAGTATTTGAATATGAGATGATGAAGTTTTAATTCAACAGATTTAGAGTATTTTTCACATGATTGAGATTAAGATGCATGTTTATGTCTCTTTATTCTTCCTGTAGAGGAGGAGCTTGCCAGCGTGCGGTCAGCCTTTGTTTGTAGGGTGTCACCAGAAATCCTCACACAGCTCCTTGAAGATCTTGTAAGTGACGGTGTCTTAAATGAATTGGAGAAAGAATCAATACTGGAAGGGAACCCAGTCAGAGCAGACAAGGCACGCTGCTCCATCGACTCAGTGAGGAAGAAAGGCGACCAAGCCTGCAGGATAATGATCAGACATCTTCAGAGTATAGATCTCTCTCTTTTTTCTCAGCTGCGTTTATACTCTGATCCATCTGCTCAGCAAGGTGAGGTCATGTATCTCTATAAGAATGGTCACCACCAGGTTTGTTGCGATGTGAAAGTGTGAAACTTCAGAATTCATTGTAAGAAAAGGGGGAGGAAAAGAAAGAAAAGCCATAGTTGTTTGACTTGAATGCTTCAGGAAAAAAAATGAAAACAAAATGCCATATTTATATAGAATAATGTAAAGCATTTATTTTTGTGTCCAGAAATGGTTTACATTATCTGTCTTCTTTCTAATTTACAGCAGGAATTATATTTGAATACTGAATGTCTGTCAGGTGCTTCTTTTAAATGGTGAACATAGCAGTAGGGATACATTATAACACTTGAACATTGTACTATTTGGTAACAAAGTTATTTCTTTTGTTTTTTTTTCTGTTATTTCTTTCTTTTCTTTTTTAAATTCAGATGTTCTTCAGGATTGTCAGCCTAAATTCAAGTCTAACCTGAATAGGAAGTTCCAGTGTGTGTTTGAGGGGATTGCTAAAGCAGGAAACCCAACCCTTCTGAATAAGATCTACACAGAGCTCTACATCATAGAGGGAGGGACTGCAGAGATCAATGATGAACATGAGGTCAGACAAATTGAAACAGTATCCAGGAAACCAGACAGGCCAGAAACAACAATAAGAAAAGAAGACATCTTTAACGACTCACCTGGAAGAGATAAACCAATCAGAACCGTGCTGACAAAGGGAGTGGCTGGCATTGGGAAAACACTCTTAACACAAAA